AAACTACGTCCGACGTCAAATGTGTCCGGCCTGTCTGTCTTGACAAGGGAAAGCTACATCCGACGTCAAATGTGTCCGGCCTGTCTGTCTTGACAAGAGAAAACTACGTCCGACGTCAAATGTGTCCGGCCTCTGTCTTGACAAGACAAAAAGATACTCATCATACTTAGCTGGTTGTCTGTTTTATGGATTGGGTATATGTTTGATCCTGGTCACTCCCATCAAGTCAGAGTTTCCTCTGCTCATGGTCCCGGTCGACCCCTATCTGTAAGCCCCCGAGCAGCCCGCCCTCTCGCTGCACCACGGACTACGTATAGCTCCGCTGACGGATTGGTTTCAACGGGCCGAAAAACGACGAACCTGAGATTTCGGAATTGTGATCCAGCTGATCGTGATTCTAAGCATCCTCCTGATTTCGCACTTCTTGGGATTCCCCGTTTCCTCCTTTATCTCCCGCCTTCAGAACTTTGAGTTCGTCCCTCCAAAAGCGATTTCGCACTGCAAACGTCGGGGAATCCACGGCAAACCGTGTGCATGACCTGGAGGTTATGGCGCAACCCACGTCTTAGGTGAGTAAACGCTGGAGGTTCGTTGCTCTGAATTGGTGCCTCAAACGCTGTAACTTTCAAGAGCGCCCAAAATATCCCATGCCTAGCGAACTACAGGCTCAAGTGTCAGACTTGCAATCGATCCACTTTCCCTTGTTCCATCAATCTAGCATCCTCACAACAAGATATTGGGGCTGAAGGGCAGAATAACCCAGCATCCTCCAACTCCACTCCAAAGCCTTTAGGAGCTCCTTCAGTTAACCATGGTGGCTGACTTCATCAACCTCTGGTAGAATGAACGTATCTCAAAGGGAATCCCTATTTTAATGGGTTCCTGGTCTGTTTCTCTCATTGATGGTTGTTCAAAGAATTGGACCAATGGACCTGTGTTTCTCTCTCCCTCCAAAGAAATGGCACGTTCCTATCGGGGGGATCCACCTACCTGGCTCGATGGCTCGCCGACCGCCGAGCCGAGCAGAAGTTGGGGCCGAGGTGGACGAAGGCTCTGCAGTCCCAAAAAACTCCCTACACACGTCCTGCATGGCAGGTCACCCCGATTGAACACTCGGAGGACCATGGAGTCTTCGGAGGACCTGTCCCAGGTGGTTTATTCTCTCCACGTTGGCCCATGATTCTTTCAGGGAGTGTACAGTAAATGCGAAAGCCTTTCTTGCATCAAAAGACCTGAAGTTCCACTCAAAAGTCGGTGGGCTCGCGGGCGCCGGCGCCTTCGTGGCATGGCTTTTCCAGGGGATGGTGGCTTTCGGCGCAATCTGGTATTTTCCGGACATCCCCTTCATTTCGGACAACATCACCTGCTTTGGGGGCGTCTCAAAGCTGTCATCCAGGCTGCCAATTCTTCGAAGAACCTCCCACTGTTCCCAGCGGCGGATGGGTCCTGGGCCGTGTCTCCAATCATCCCTATTCATGTAGACTCTTGATTACTAAACCCCCCATTGGAATTGATTCATCCTCTTCATATCATCAAGAGTCTATACATTACAGGCCGACCTCGGAGGCTGGAGCAAGCCAATCACGCTCCACGGCTGGAGCTGTGCTGAACATCGAAGCGTCAAGCAAAACACACATCATGTCCTTGCACGAAAAGGACCTGTCATTGTTCCCAGGGGGTTACATCTGTCGAACCGATCACATGTAGTGATACGAACACACCCCAAAAACACTCCAACCCATTTCATTCACAGTTCGCCACTCCATGACTCCCATTGACTGCCCCAGGTACCAAGAAGGCAGCGCTCCAACAGATCAACCTTCACCGCGTTCACCGCAGGTGGACGGAGCCGCTGGAGCCGCTGCAAACGCTGCGGCGGAGCGCCACCCCCGACGGGTGACGCTCCGAGACGCTCAGTCGATCTCGATGCTGGGCGCGTCCTTCCCGCTGCCATCGGAGGACATCAATTCCATGGCCTTTCGAAGGCCCACCACCTTGAAGAGGGCAGGAGGTGAGAGCACACAGGGTGGGTGCACAGGGTGAAGGAGCACATCAAGGCCTGGATAGCGGGGGATAGGGGTCCCGATTGGTGTGAAGAGCATTTACTGATGGAAGCACCATGCCAGCGGCGGCTCCCAAACGGAGAACCACCGGACGGCGCGCGTTGGAACCACCGGCGCCTCCGTGCTCGAACCGTCCGTCCATTCGGTGACCCAGCCGTCGAGCCCAGCGGAAAACGGCACGTGGCACCGAGACTGGCGTGGTTGCCCCGGGTTTCGTCCGACCTGGGAGACCCTTTGCGAAACAGGTCTGGGTTCCAACCCGATGCATGGCACCTGAGAGATCCTTTACAATAGGGCTTAGGGGCGAAAGTGAAAGGGCTGGGGAGTTCCATCCAGACAGTAACCAGGTAGTACTCTCGTTCGCAACCTCTCACCGAAGTGGCTTCCGACCCGTGCCTTCACTTCTGATTCTAAGAGGTCCAACACCTGCGGTCCGCGACGGGACGGAAGTCTCTTGGACGAAGACCCAGGTGGACGAAGGGGTCTCTTCTTATAGAACGAATGCCTCAACAGGCACCTTATTGATACAAAACCATGGGGAGTGGGTGCTGGTCTTTTGATGAGGTTTGCGGAGATCCAACTTGATCGCTTGGGGCAAGACTCATTTGGGGATCTGAAACATGTCATGTTCCATGTCAGATCCGTGCTTTTGATGGTTCAATTTCAATCCATGGAGTACTTATCACAAGAATACTCTTTGGCAGCGCTATATCGTGCTTTTGCTTTGGATGCTTGAAAAGAATATCCGGACCGTTTTGGCAGTGTTTTTTGGAATTGTTTGGAATGTTTTGGTGGACATAGGGAACTTCTTGGAACGACATAGGCCCAACATGGTCCGACCGAAAACCACAAAAGTGTCCAATAGTTGATGAATGTTGATGATGTACTCCGATCCGAAAGAATGGTCCTTGAAAATGTTGCAAAAGAAGCGCGTCATTTCTTGGGTGAACTGCATCAACCTCTGCTGGTGGCGGTGCGGTTCGGACAAGCAGCTCGGCCGGTTCGACCGGGCGAAGAAACCCCCGCGTATCTGGCCGTTGGTCCAAAAAGGAAGCATGCATTGTTCCCCCCAAGAAAAACGACCCCAAGGGCGATGACCAGAAAAGGGAAACCACAAAACGGATACCAAAAGGATGTGATTTGATGAAGCGAAGAAATAGACTTGGAACCTGAAGGGCTATTAAGCCACCAGCAACAGAAAACGACTCGAAACCAGTGTCTTTCGGGCTTTGATGTTGAAACATCTGCACGGAACTCGGCGAAGCATCTCTCACTGCCTTCTGGTGTCCCCTCTTCCGCGCAAAATCCTCGCGCGGAACTCAGACCGTTCAGATGGCCGGTGTCGGAGCGTGTCCCTTCGTGTCCCACAATCCATGTCTGGAATGTGCCTACCGTACGGGGTGATCTGGTTGATGGTTGATGGTTGGTCCACGTAGATAAATACGTTCGTAACAAAGGGCATCGTGACTCGAACGAAGCGAGAAGCGATAGGACGCGACTCGAACGCGGCTCCTGGCCTTACTACGAACGGAGCAAGGACGCTAGTAGTAACAAAGGGCATCGCTTTCAGTTCACCAACGGGTTGACCGACCGAGTCAGGAGAACAGAGGTGAACTTTCACCAACCAAGTCAAGAGAATCCTAGATGATGACCCGGCCACTGTTGGGTATCCTCTTTCCCGGGCCCAGTAGATGATGATGATGGTTCAGTTGCAGATAGTTTGCAGGCCCAGAGCTCTCAAAAATGGTGACTGATACAGGTATATATTCGCTAAATTTGACCTCTCAGAAGCTCCTGGCGCAACTGACGGATCCCAAGTGGTCACCATCTCGACAGAAATCTCTAAGGTTACGATTCGTAGATGAAAAAGGATCTCATACATAATCATCTCATGAGTCAATTCGCAAATCCTCCAACCCCGTCTTTCTATCACCACAAAAGGATTCAAGATCCTCTCATGAGTCCTTCAACCCTCCAACAAACATGGAAGTGGAGTTCACTTCTTTGGAATTCGCTTGTTTGGTCGCTCCAAATCCAGGGGCCAACGGGGCGAGGACGTTTTGGATGGATCTACAGCTTCCTCAACGCAGCCCCCCACGTCCCATCCTTGGCTGTGCGCCCTTTGGAGCTGGGTTGCTCCACCTCCGCACCCTGCGGACGGAACGGGCCATCCGTGGCCGGAAGCGGCGTGGCTCGGTCCGGACCGTCTGGAAACTCACGGGCCGTGGAGTGAAAAGCGCCAGACGTTTAACTTAGAGGAAACGCCCCCGGTTCCAGGCGACAGGCGGCGAGGGTCGGCGAGGGTGGTTGTGGGACCCCACAGGTGGTGAACCTGGGCACCGGACCGACTTGCCGGTTGGTCCGTACAGTCGTGAGGGGGTCGAGACTCTGGACAGTTAGGAAACCAACCCGAAACATGTCTGGATGGAACTCTACAGTCTCAACCACTTAGTTGTGCAAAAGATCATCAAAAGCCATCTTGTGTTCCAGCCATTGATGTCTGGGTTTCGTCATGGTTTCCAGGTTGAGCTGTGAGAAAATCTCAGTGAAACTCTCAAGGGTATGGTTCTTGGCCTTGGGGCTTCCTCACTTCCACCAACACTCCCATGGCGCGCGGAACCGACCCACGCCTGCATCATCAGCATCCGCACTAGCTCGGCGTTGCCCTCGGCCGCCGCCAAATGGATTGGCCAAACGGTCTCCTGTCGATGGAACGGACCGTCTCGGCAGGTCTCGGCATCGGATTCCTGTCGCTAAAGAAGAACACACCAGGCGCACCCCCTCCCCGCTGGCCAACGAACTTAAAAACAGGGTGGACACCGGTGTTCTCCTTTTTGTAGAACCAACAGCCGCCGCCCATGCGTGGCTCCGTGACATCCTGGAGCAGCTGAGCAGAGCGGCTGGAACAGCCCAATTTGAGGAAGTCCATGGAGTGGATCTGCCTTTGAGGTGGGTGGATTCTGCTTGTCAACAGTGATACACTCACAAAGAATTTCAGGACTGATTTAGTCCAAACTCATATTGTGTCAACTGCACATCGTGTAGGACACTGCGAAAACTGCGAAACTCTCGTGGCTTGGAAGCTGCAAAACCAGGTCACTGGATGGCCAGTATCAACTCTCTCTCTCTCTCCCTCCCTCGGTCTGTCTGTCTGTCTGCCTGTCTGCCTGTCTGCCTGCCTGCCTGTCTGTCTGTCTGTCTCCCTCCAAAACCGCACCTCACTGAAGCCATTCTTCTTTAGAAACTCCTGCACAATCGAGGACGTGGAAAACGAACCCTCGGCTTCTTTAGAGTTACCGTTTTGAAAGCCCCGAACTTGAGGTTGTATAATTCCCTCATTCGGGTCGAAGGAAACGAACCAAATCCAAGCAAAGCGGCCGTTCCCACCCATTTCAACCTGTGGCCAGCAACAGATCGCACTCGAAGCACCTGAGGCTGCTTGGCAAGGTCACCCCTTCTAGGGACGGGCGCAACTTCTCTGAAGACCAACGTGGAAGGAGCTCTGAAAATGGCAGCCTCAGAATTTGCAAATCGCTTGGCCAATAGAACTCCTTCAAACTCTGATCAAATCCCATACCCAAAGTCAAGCTCTGTATACCGGGCAAGGAAATCCCCACCACATTTGGTTGAATTGCCAGCTGAAGGTCAAGCTCTGCAGAGTTGGTGGGAAAGTCACTCCCTGCAAGGGCTGATTAAATGCATAGCCGAACGTCAGGCTTTGCAATGCATGTGGCCAAGTTCCGATCGAATGTCAGATGCTGCAAATTGCGTGGCCAGGTCACGTGATCGACACTCTGATTAAGCTGACCACCAAGAGTGAGCGACTGGAGGCTGTTGGGCAAGCATGTCGGCTCGAAGCTTTGGTTGAATTGTTCGCCAAATGTCAGGTTCTGCAAATGGTCAGGTCACGCAACATGCGCCAAACTCTGGTTTCCAAACTGTGATTGAAGAACTCTCCAAAAGTCAGATTTGTTAGGCTGCTCAGAACCGAACCCTCATCGCAGATCCTGGAACTCGCGACTCATCCGGCAGACGTGGGTCAGCATCTCGAGGGGGGTTGGAACGTCGAGAGAAACGTGCGAGAGAAAGGGGTCCAGCCCAGCTGGACGCAGCCCTTTGGCTCACCAAGCCGAGACAACGGGAGACGAGGTTTGGGCTCAAAGACCAGGCTCTGCCGGTCCAGAGGTTTCCAAAGGCGAGGCTCTTCAAGGAGTCAGGCAATGCCCCTCACTCCAGAGTCTGGTTGAACAAAACCCCCAGGCTCAAGCACTCTAAACGCTCGATGGCCAAGGCTCTGGCCTTCCAAAGTCTGGTTAAATCATTGCCGAAGTAGCATGACCTTCTCAATGTTTCTAGGTAGCATGACCTTCTCCAAGCACTGATTGAACTTGAAGCCAAACTTGAGGCTTCGAAGGCTATTTGGCAAAAGAACCTGGTCCAAACTCTGCTTGCCCAGAACATCAGGCGGACCATCCTGCCAAAATGGAGCAAACTAAACAGACCCTCCGTCGGTTGCGTCGCTGGTTTTCGCTTCAAAACGGTCCAACCACGGATGGTTTGTGGCACTTCAAAACCATTTCCTGTAAAAAACGGTTGCCTGTCCCTAGGCTTCCAACAACCATTGTTTTTATGGTCTTGGAAGTCTAGGGCTGTGATTCACCCCTACACCTCTACAGCTTCCTCCGTCTACGTGAGACCAGTCGACGGCTCCGAGACTCGGCTCATGAGGAGACTCGCTCGTCCGAGACTCGGTCGCTGCGTGGGGATCCCGGTCGACCGCGGAGAGGAACGGATCAGGCCCAACCAGCAGACCACACTGACGCTCCAGGACCGCTCAGGGCTCAGGGCTCCCATTCCAGAAGGGCTCCCGTTTGGAGGAGCCTGTTGGGTTGTTTTTCTGGGAGTTCCTGTCGGAGCATATTTTGGGGGGTCCGACCAGGACTGCAGTGACGAACGGTCGAGTCCAGGAATGTCCTTGAAAACTGCTGCCCGATCAGATCGTCGAACGGTCAAAGTCGATCGGGGAATGGGTTGGTGACATGTTCTTTGGTGCTCATTGGATCTGGATTCGCGCTTTCCGGTTGTCTTCGGGTAGCATTCTTTGGTGACATGTCTTTGAATTTGGTGCTTGAACGTACTTGTCGCAGCTCTGCGATATGTTTTTCAAAGGCTCAAAGGGCCGATGTTATGTCATCAGGAAAGAGCCTAAATGCCCCTCCTATCTCATCAGGTCAAAACATACAACAAAGACACTGCTACACATACATTTATGTGCATAGTAAATGTTTAAGATTGCATGGTTTCAGGAGGTATTTGATACTAAACTTGAACCACACATGACCGAGGAGTGTGTCACCAGCTGGCCACATGGCCAAAAGTCACACTCATAACATATATATATATATATATGTTTGAGAAGAAGATAAAGAACCATGTGTGTATATGTATAAATATATGCATTTCATTAGCCCTCCGTATTTTTACATCCCGGGAAGGCCTTCGTTTTCGAGTGGTTCACTCACCTGTCCACCCGTCCATGCATCAATCACATGCAATCATCCAATCCAATTGAACCCAGCAATGTAGGCTCTTGCAATCCATGTCTGGGTGATCTTTATCAAGAGTCTACATTACCCTTGGATTCACACCACCACTATTGAAAGCACCATTGATTTCATGGGCTTGACGGAACAACCTTTGTTTTACTAAGCACTCTAGACGGCAACACCAGCTCAACCGGTTCAACCGAACTTTTTTAATGATCTTTGAAGGCTAGGGCTAGGGATTATCCGCTAGAACTTCGCTTTGTCCCAGAAAATCATGGGCTTTGGCCTTTTCTTTTCCACGCACGGAAAAAGAACCAAAACCGGAACCGTTGGAAGAGGCGATCGCTCGGGTCGGACCACAACCGTCTCGAAGAACCCACGACCGTCGCCGGTCGTCCTTCAACTTCTCCTGGCGCCGCATCTGCTTCTGCTTCCGCGCCAAGCTCCCGGCACGGGGCGCCTGGGTCACCTGCGCGGGATCGAGACGACACCGGTTGGATAGAGCAAAAAACAATATGATAGGCATATATTATTTTACTTGTATATATGTATATATATATAGTATATATTATGTATATAGTCATGTAGTATATACAGTGTGTATATATATATATGTACATATATGAATTATACATATACATATATTATATACACACATGTGTGTTCATTTATTTGATGGAATACTGTTTGCAATTTTGGTTGGTGAGGTGTTGGTGATGAACATAAACAAATGTTCTGGACTTGAGCCTGCAGGTTGGATGGCAAGCGAAGCAAGCCAGAAAATCTCAAGGCTTCGTTGGAAGAAAAGATGAGGCTTCGAAATGGAAAAAAAGAGACAGCACGTCCAACTGCCCAGCGACCCAGCAACTAGACTTTTGGGTCCGCAGTCGCTGACTCAACCGTGTCCACAGAAAAAGTGGTCTCTCATCTCCCAACCTTTGCCGAGTTCTACATCGATCACACCCAGTGAAGTTATAATACCGTAGGAACCCCCAGCCAGACCCGTGCCGAGACCGGATTTCGTTTGGTCGAAAGGTCTTCAGGTGGCCGGGTCCCTCCACCAGTCCCTCCCTCCACCCGTGCTGGTCCCCGGACCCGTCGCGTCGTTCGCGTCGAACCGCGTTCGACCGCCTCGCGGAGATCCGACTCCGACGGCGCCGTGGAACCCGAGGACGCCGAGGGCCACGAGTCCTGGGCGAACGGAGAAGGACCGGTGTCCGAGGCTCCCATTCGGAGCGCCGAATGGAAGAAGTTCGACCAATCATCCGCTTCATGTTCATGGATGTCTACATCCATGAATTGGTTCAGAAAATCTACAGGAAACCCTGGTTTTCAACCCCAAAACCATGGCTTTCCTGTAGATTCTCCCAAAATAGACATTCTGGGAGAAAAATAATGACCCCACCAAAAGAGTTAGCGCGAGAAAGGATCCTGAGTTGGAGAACCGGTCTGCTCCCGAAATCCCGAAAAGGTCTTCTCGGCTTTCTTCACGCTCATTTGGATCTATATCTCCACCCACGTAGCCTTCCAAGACCATTAAAAGAGTTCGGTTGACCTGGTGTTGTAGTCTAACATGGATGTTCTGAAAGCTCGTTATGCTTTACGGCGGAAGAGACGGCCCTGAAAGGATGACGATAAAATCCTCTACCATGGCCCAGGCGGTTTTCCATCCACGAAACCATGATATCAAGGAGTTTCTGCCTTCCTCAGTTTGGGAGTCCAGTTGTCAGTTTCTGCCTTCCTCCCACCTTTTATCGAAAAACGACGTTGCGTATGCACTCCGAAAAGCTTGGGAGAATACCAAAACATCCAGAAAGAACTGCTATGGTGGAATTGAAGTCTCCAAAAGAACAGGTTGCTTTTTGACCATGACGGGGCCATTCTAGATCCTCTCCTGCAAATGTCTAAATGCGGGCAGTAAGTGTGTTAAGAAACTTTTATGATATAAGAAACTCGAGTCGAAGTCTCGGGGAAAGTCCATTACTGATCCTCTACGTGTTCTTGCCTTTTTGGGAGGCCCATCGGTCTGTCTCCAGGTGTGGACGAGGCGAAATGAAAAGGTGCGGATTTTCGCCCGAGGGTACGAAGAAGGCCTGGGACGTATCCCTAGCCTTCAAGAACCATTAAAGTAATGATTGACCTGATTTGTAGTCTAGAATCCTAAGTAAAACAATGGTTATGGGAAAGACCACTAAAACACTGGTTGTTGGAATCCCAGATTTTTAAGTGTGTTTTTGCATAGTCTCGAAGCCAAGCGGCATTGGTGTTCCTCTGTCGCCCCAGATCAGGGGTGAGGACATTCGGCAAGTCTGCTGCCTTAGCAGAGGACAAGCCCTAAACTGACGATGGTCTTTCGCTGATGAGCAACCGAAGCTTAGATGCACTGGCTGCTCAAAAAAGAAACTATCTAAAACATTCTAAAACAATGGTCTCAAAATAGCAAAGGCTTCGTAACCAATCAAAAACAAAAAAGAACACTAGTCTTGCGGTCAGCTTATCCCATCAAAACCAAAACAAACATGGTGGTAACCAGTATCCAAATGTCTACATCCCAAGAGATCCCAAGAGCTCAAAAATGAGCTGCGGCCAATTCATCTCCAAAAATAGATAGAGACAATTCCGTTAAATACATGGATGGATCTTCCCTGGTTTGAGTTCACCAACAGGCCTGTGAAAGGTCACTGCATGGGACTCACCATCCGGGTCGCTGGATGGTGCCATGGAACATCGTAGATGCTCGAGACGCGACCATTTGCAGCTTCCCGGGGCACCCCCAGGGCAACCCAAGCCATCACTCCTCCCTGAAATACTAAAACGGTATTTGTGGAGAATGTAAAACAGGTCACGAGGTCCGGATGACCATTTTCAATCCGAATACCAAACAAGTGGCTTTCCATCCACGTAACCATGGGGATTTCAAGAACTCTATACTCTATCCGACTTGGAGTTCTAACTCTCCGACGGATGCGTGAGAGGTCGCGGTTTTTCTCCGTCGCCCGGGAATGTTCCCAAAAGCACCGCAAAACCGACAACGAAACAAACAAGAAGCCCATACCATGAGTGGATGTCCAACCGAAGTGGTGCCAGCCTGACCATGTTCCATGTGTATGTTCCATCGTTCAATGAATTTTAGAACACATGCGAAGAAGAAGTTCCTTTTACAGTAACCGTGTAAAATGAATGTCTGTAAAAAGGAAATGTTATGTCGTGATTCGAAGCCCTGTCCCCGATGTTGCATGACTCCATGACTAAATAACACCATGTAGACAGCTGGTTTTAGTCAAACCCTCTTGGCAAACCTGGAAATGTAAAACCATTCTGGAGACATGGTGGTTGAAATAGCATCAACTCTCTACTTCATTATATATATATATATTACACTATTACATATATATTGATATTTGTTGTGGGAGGGGGCGTTACATTTAGATATTACTGTATAGAGAGAGATGCATACACATGATAGGATCGCCACCGCTCCCGCAGCACGCCACCGCTCCCGGGGCCAGGGCACCACGGTGTGCGCCATCGGCCGTCGTTCGCGTCACCGGGCTCCGGTCGGACGGGTCGGGTGACTGTGAGGTCGAACGGAAGAAGGGGCGGTCGCGCGAGGTGAGAGGAAGTGACTCACCAGAATTAGTAGCTTATTGTTTCTAATAGCTTCTTAGTTACTACTAGTAAGGCACTTGTTACTAGTAGCGATGCACTTGTTCCTAGTTGGAGTTGGTGGTCCAAAATTGAGGACTTTCAGGTTCGAGAAGGAGAGTTCAGTCAGGAATACCACGACAACCCACAGCCACAGGTATTCCCACACTCGCCGTCGACGGGTTTGGTTTCAACGGTTTGTCTACGCCGTGCACGGACTTCTCGCGATCAGCGCCCCAGCGCGACCCGAGACAGACCCTGGCCCAGCCCTGACCATGTGAGCTGCGGTGGGTACTGGGGTGTTGGAGGGGGTTGGAGACAGTCAGAAGTCAGAGACTCACGTACGAAGAAGACGTCCTCGGCCGAGGGAAGTAGATCTATTCTTCACACGCGATGCTCAGGCCATGTCTCGGTACCATTGGCGAACCATGGGGAACCTGCGACAGGAACCTGCACTGGAACATGGGTACCTGTGGTGCAGGCAATAGGTGTCAATATCGACCCTTAGGACCTTAAGAAGCCACTGCAAAAGTGATGGGCTGATCTTGGTTGGGCTAAGTTGGGCTGCAATACCTGCATCAACACGATCATCTGAGCCTCCTGCGAGGAAGAGCCACATGGCAGCAGCGCTTCAGTAGTTCCGGATGTCTGCGACGAGGGCACGTCAAACTCAGATGAGGAGGCGGGGCTCGAGGTGGTCCCAACAAGCAAACCAGAAAAAGAATGTACACCAAGATGTCGGATGATACCTGCATACCGTTGGTGGGATCTCACTTGGTCTTACCACTTGGTCCTCCGAACATGCGTCGCTGTTCGCTGATGGCTGGTGTGGAGACGGACCTCCGAGTCTCGAAGGATGGCTGGAAAATTGGCCCTCTCCATTTTCCAGTGGGGACTAGGTCCCTAAACGACATGAATGGCCTGTCAACCATTCGGACAGGCTGGGAAGAAAAACTACGGTAAAGCTGGACCCTTTGGCTTCAATGGGAGCTGCTTGTGGCTTCGCCAAGACCTAGCAGGAGAAGCTGCTCTGCGCCCTAGCTGCCAGCAGCATATACCGATCTTCAAAAGCCAAGCAAAAGCAAGATCGAGACCATTCCTTTCGCATGTCCCTGGACAGTGTCCCTTGTGTTCAGTCGCGAGGCATATGAGTGAACACATGCCCTCCAAGAAAAGGTCAGTCGTGATAACATCGAGACCCATGTACAACCCCCATGCCCACATGCCCAGCTCAAATTGATCTGCCAAAGCAGCGGCACTCCAACCACCAACAGTGCCTCCCAAAAGAAACAACTACCATCACATGCTTGTATAGCAGGTAGACTATTTGCACACCTCGTCCGTAACAGTCATTGCTCATTTCCACTGCTTTCCTCCCATCTCCGTCTTGCGCCTTCGTGACACACAGCCAGTTGCTGTACTTGCTGCAGCCAGACAAGCGAAGCTCGGCACGGCTGCGCCGTCCGGAGGGTTTTTGTCCCGGACACGTTCGCCGCAGGCACCGAGCCTCGCTGGACATGGACGGCGGACGGAGGACATGGGCGCTGACGGACGGAGGCATCGTCCATCCAATTCACAAGGCCGCAAGGACTCCTTTCACCTTTCACAAATCAGGCGATTCCCAAAGCAACTGCACTCTGGCCTGGAAGCTGAGAGCTGCAAGGATATGGACAGTTCCTGAGAAGTGTCGGTGCATCATTGAAACCCTCAAGTGAGGAGAGAAATGGTTCACCAAATCCCTAGAAGCTGGTCGGTTTGTGTCAATCTTGCAAGTGCCATGGTGCAGCAAAGACGGACTTGTCCTTAAAAACATTTCATTTTCTGTGGTCAACCAGGGTCCTCGTGGGTTATTTCGGTGCCGAGTCATGGGGATGGGTCGACCTTCACCTGGTAGGTCTGTAGGACTTTTCGCACCTTGCAGAGGTGACCGGTCAAAATGAGAACCTCACCGAAACCGAAACCAGAATTCGTGCCTTCTATCCCCCAAAACGCTTCGCCACAAGGCGAACCAAACCACCAGCCGGCTTCGCAGCGAGCGGCTCGCTGCGAAGCAAAGGAAAGAAGCCAAAGGATCACTGGTCAACTTTCTGAAAAGGTGAAACGGTGAAACGGATTTGGTCCAGGTGTTTACAGTTCTTGATGTCAGGCCCCTTCCGGACTCCAGAGTCACACCTTCTGACCGGGGACTGCAGAGGTCGCTCTCAGGCGGGCGGATTTGGCCGCGACTTCGAAGTCGTTTCGGGGGCCAAAACACCGAACTGGAGCACGGTGGGCCACCGAAGCAGATTTCCAAAGGAACACGTGGTCCACCACGTTTAACGGGGACCGACCGGTCGGAGCAATCCCACGTTTTCAAGCAAGCCATCCGTGACAGCTGGCTTCGCCGACAAAACTGAAGGTGGAGCAACACAAGTCTGTCCGACTGAAAGCGAAACCCTTAAAAAAGAAGAATTGAAAAGGCCGAAGAATCTCTGAATTTCAGTTTCCCCACAGAAAGCTCTTCCTTCCATCGCCCCAACCGTTTTTCCCTCCCAAAAAACTTGTCGAGACCAGCTGCGCTCGTCGGACCAACCCAAAGCGCCCGTGCCCGCGGTTCGCAGGTCTCCCGGGTCTTCGGGTCTTAGAAGCCACAGCGGCTGAGGACCGTCGGAAAGCAAACGATTTGATTTTTACAATAACAAGTGCCTTACTAGTAGTAACAAGAAGCTACTAGTAACAAGTGCTCTGTGAAATCTCCCATCTTCTTCTACCTCTGCCTGTTCAATCAACGTCCAGCACCCAGCCACCCTCTGGTCAAGATCGAAAAGAGTCTAACAAAACTAAAGTAGTCAATGTACCTGGTGATCTTCGCTTGCTCACACTGTTTGATGCTTTCTTCTTCTTCTTCTTCTTCTTCTTCTTCTTCTTCTTCTTCTTCTTCTTCTTCTTC